TTTGACTTAAATTTTAATCGATTTTTGTATATGAACCAAGCATTGGCCTAAAACCTCTATTAATCCAGTCATCCACGCGTTGTCTACGCTCTTACGTGACCTCGTAATCATCCCATAGTCAAAAAAGAAATTCTTGCTTTTGCTTGGACATCAAGATATTTAAAACTTGCATATATATTACATGTTTTCAATCAATTCTTCATCAAACATACATTCTTCACATATACTTGCGAAAATTCTCATTATGTTTTCTGAAGAAAAAATGATGTCCAATTTCTCCTACGAGGAATCAAACACTGCCATCGATTCATATCCCGGCTGGGAAAATGATTTTTCTGGATTATACAGAGAAGATTTTGGAGAAAAATATTATCAGCCACATATGATTCGATGGAAATCTGGGAACAGGGTTGATCCGAGGTTGCTGGTGCTACTAGAATCTTTTAGGGAAATTTATGTTAGAAGACATGAATTTTTCAAGAAAATTTTCCCAAAAAATTACGAAGATTTTGTGGCTGTGTTTAAGAAAACTGGTAATGCTTCGAGGAAGAACAAAGAGATGACAAGTTTTCGGACTCTTGGAAGGAGCCTCAGCCTCGGTTCAAAGAGGCCTGAACGGTTCAAAGTGCGGGCACCGAAGGTGATTGTGGTGGCCGGAGGAGATGGACAGGTTGATCAAAGTGACAAGGGTGGTGATGCTAATTCCAAAAATGGATGAATTTATGAAATGGATCGACTGATGTGAAAAATCGTAAGATTGTGTACAAAATATTGTTTATTGAGAGAGTGTCGAGGCAATTAAAGTGACCAGGGACCATGGTGGAACATTTCATTTGGTTTCAAAATTCCTACTACCGTAAAATAATGTGCTGGATTGGTGTGTGTATAACGAGAGAGAGAGAGAGGTTATTCTTTATCTGTACAGTGATAAAAGTGAGGTAAATATGTAAATAGTGATCAACGATATACACTGAACTTTTATTTTTATTTTTTTTCTTTTTGAACTGTAGATAATTCTTTTGTGAGTAAAAACAGTTTTTAAAGAAAAAAAATTGTACATTTTCTTCATTTCTAAGTGACATTGCAGATTATACAATATTTGACCTCAGGTTAGGCAACTATCAGAGACTTGAAATTTGGACTTGGCTTTTGGCCCGAGATTGGATTGGGCTTGGGCTACTCGTAATGTTGGGCTAAGGAAAAGTTTGTTCACAAAAATGTAAGGGAAAATTATCTAAAACCCTGCAATTGAAGATCAGTTGTCATAAACAAAGAGATTAAGGGTGTGTTTGATTACAGGGGTGAAAATAGGTGGAAAGAAAATGTTTTATAGGGAAAAGATTTGTCTAGAAAATATTTTGCAGGGAAAATGATTTCAAGTGTGTTTGATTGGTATAATTTTCCACCCGAAAAATTTTTATATTTTCTATTCGTTTGACTTTGTTTTACATGGAAATTATCCATTAAAGTGATATTTTTTTTCACAATTGGTTATAAAATTTATTTCCATTGCCAAAAAGTAAAAAAAGAAAAAAAAAGGAAAAAAAAATTGTTTCCTAAAAAATCATTTTTTTATCAAAATTTAGTGTTCGTTTGACTTTGTTTTACATGAAAATTGTCCATTAAAGTGAAATTTTTTTTTACCATTGGTTATGACATTTGTTTCCATTGCCAAAACAAAAAAAAATAATTTCCAACCAGCCGGGAAAATATTTTCCCACCAAAAAGGCAGGAAAACATTATCATCAAAAACCCGGAAAATGCACACGTGTGGGAAAAATCGGAAAATATTTTTCGCGAAAAATTTCGCCTATCAAACAGTCAAAAAAGTGGAAAGTGGAAAATATTTTCCTACTTCCCCGGAAAATGTGGCCTATCAAACACAGCATAGTTTAAAATTCAGATTTTAGGTGGTAAATAAAATTATTAATTATAATTATTAAAAATTTAAATCTACATATTCATCAACTAACCCCAACCCACCCTCGCTTTATCCCAAACTAATTTCATCTCTCTCTCTCTCCCCTTCCTCATTTTACACCTGCAGCCACCGTGGAGCAGCATGGCAGGGATCGAGTCGTCGCAACCACAACTGCAACGATTTGGCCACAGGCGGGTGAGTTCGCTGCAAACCCACCAATGAACGGAGGAACAGCGCCTGGCTTCGTCGCTGTAGCGACGAGCTGCTGCTGGCTACGTCGTCGCTGCTTGCTTCACTATTAGGGCTGGGGTAGAATGTAATATTCAATTTTTAATTTTTGAAAACATTTTGTGATGATTCAGAAAAAATTTGAACTTCTCTGGGACTCTGTTGCCTCTAAACTTCAGAAGCGGAGCTTCGACCCTACCTTAACTCTATTGTTCAGGTCGTTAGAGTTGAGGATGAAGAAAATGGAAGACAAGAGAGAAGGGTGCTTGAGGAACGTGAAGAATAGTGATGAAAACTCAGATCTAGAAAAGAATGTTCAAGTCGTCCATGTTTTATGTTGCTTGAAGAGAAGAACAGTGATGAAAACTCAGATCTATAAAAGAAGGTTCAGGTCGTCCATGTTTTATGTTGCTTGAAGAGAAGAACAGTATTAATAATGGTACTTTGACAGCCGACAACGAAGGAGATGGCGGTGGCAGGGTGAGGGTGGTCACAGATGGTGGTCTTGGTCATCGTGCTGGTGTTGGTTCAGGTGGTGCTATTGTTGGTGGTGGTAATGGCGGTTGCAGTGGTGCGTTTTGTTGATGGTTTTACAATTTGTAGTATTTTGGATATGGTTTTTCCGATATAGCGACGATGTTTGAATTTAGCGGTGAATTTAGCGGCGCAAGATGAAATTTCGACCAAATATGTGTTGTTTGTGAGCAGTTGTGACCGATTGTGATTGTTTGTGACTGTTTATAACCGATTGCGACTTGAAATTCTGCAATTTTTTTGGAAATTTAGAGTGGATTGATGATGTGGGTAGGTTGATCGGAGCATTCGTTGGAGTGGTTATTGGAGCAGTCGGAACTGTCATCACAGTGGCCGCCTGAGTCATCGCGCATAACAGTCGCCGGAGAGGCCACCGGAGTATATGACCGCCTCCGATGGAAAGAAGGGATAGGGAGAGGATAGAGAGTAGAGATAGTGATTTGGATTTGAAATTTAATAAATTGGAATAATTGTATTATGTTATAATTAAAAATATTTAATAAAATGATTTGACACCTGAATTTTTAAGTTTGTTATTTATGAAATGTGATCTTTAAAACAATGAATTATGTATTGTTCCCAAAATGTAATGCCGATTGAGATATCCTTTTTTGTCATTTCCCAAAAAGTTGAGAAATTGTGTGGATTAGGATATGTGAAAGATATTCTAACATTATCATAGGAGGTGTTGACAACCTAATTAACAACAATCAAATTAGAAGTCTAGAACATGACGTGAAAATTTACTTGCCCGTAAAAGTGAATTCTTTCCTAATAATGTTATTTATCTCCATTGAAGTGATCTCCATATAATGTGACATTAAATGATAAGACTTATAAATCGGGTCTCATATATTTAAAACATGTTCGGAGTTGTTTATGATCTATTTAAATTTTAATAAAATGAAATTAGTGGCATAGTTGGATAGTATTCGTGAATTCCATAATTTATGTGGACAAAAGATGATTTAATTGATTATAAAAAATGCCAAACAAGGGTTCAATTGACTTTACCACTTCAGAGCACATTACCTAACAAAAATTATGCAGGTACAAGAAAAAATCAGATTTTGTACAAAAATTTGAATTACACTCACATTGGAGACGGGCCCCACTTGAATTAAATATTGCCAAAAAAATGGGAGCCCGCCTATTGTGTGTATTCCGTCCGATATCCATGGATAATTTGTTATACCCAGAGCATTGTTCTTATCTAACCTATCACACGGAGATCATCACCAACCAGATAAAATAGCGTCATTATTTCTTTAATTGGACACGCCATTCGTACATCCAAATCTAGACACTTCGAATCTTGAACCACTCTAATTAAGACACTTTGGATTTCAAGTGGGTCTGCCCATTTACTATATTTATCTTTCTTATTCTCTGAGCGTCTGAGGTGTCATGATTTTAGTAGTTTGGTATATGAGGTGGTGTTATTTGAGTTAGCGATTCTACCATATGTTCAAGTAGAGTCGTCCCATTGAAGTATTTTTTCCATTAAGCTCAAACAAATAGTATTTACTTATTTCAATTGTATACGCAACAAACCAACTGACATTCTTTCAAAAGAATCAAAACGACCGTTTTCAACAACTATAGATGGTCATTCATCCATTCCTTTTCTTGTTTTGTGCAACAAGTTACAAACACTTATAATCTTGTACTTTGTTTGAATCCCATATCGTCAAATAGGATACAAAGTAAATTCAAATTATCATTCTCATAATTTAAAATGTCATTATTAAAAGATACAAACTTTAAGGTGATCTTTGAACTTAATTAAAACCATCAAGGTCAATGTTATCACAAGTTATTGTAACATTGGGTTATTGACGATGGAGATTCAAAGTCAATTGAAGTGAATCTGAGAGGTAGCAATGTATGTTTGAAGGAAGGAAGAAGCACAAGGCAAAGTGAAAGCTTCACTCGAACAATTTAACTAGAACTGCGACTAGAGTTAAAAAAATTATATTGAAATATATAGTTTAAAGTCGTTTTTCCCTATATTGAAAGGGAGCGCTCGAAGTGAAAGTACTTTTTTCGGCAATGTCGGAGACTCGTGCATTCTTAGCAAACGCTAAAAACTTGGTTATAAATTAAACCAAGTTCAAAAATTCTTCTAAATGGAGGCTAAATTAGGTAATATATAGATGAAATCGAATTACACAGAACAGACTCAATTAACTATTTTTTTGGGTTAATTTATAGATCATAAACACAAAATTCTCATATGCTTCCAACCTAGAATATTGTTCCTAATATGAATGGTTTATTTTAAGATATTCTGAAATTATTAGAGACATGTAGCAAGTAGTAGAAACAAATGAATAATAACTTTGTTTTAATTTTTTCTTAAAATTAAAAAAAGTTTTTTTTTTTAAAAAAACGTTTATTTCAAAATAAGTTTTTATTTTATTTTATTTTTCTAAGTAACTTTTTTTTAAAATAAATTTTTATTTTATTTTATATTTTTAATTAACATTTTAAAAAAAATAATTATTTTGGATATGGTTTTTCCGGTATAGCGACGATGTTTGAATTTGGCGGCACAAGATGAAATTTCGACCAAATATGTGTTGTTTGTAACCGGTTGTGACCGAGTGTGACTTTTGTGACCGAATGTGACTGTTTATGACCGATTGTGACTCGTTGTGACCAATTATGATCGATCGTGACTTGAAATTCTACAAATTTTTTTATAGTGGATGGATGATGTGGGTAAGTTGATCAAAGCATGCGTTGGAGTGGTTATTGGAGCAGTTGGAACTGTCATCGGAGTGGCCACCTGAGTGATCGCGCAGAACAGTCGCCGAAGTATATGGTCGCCTCCGATGGAGAGAATGGGTAAGGAGAGGATAGAGAGTAGAGAGAGTGATTTGGATTTGAAATTTAATTTCGCCGGAGTAGATGACCATCTCCAATGGAGATAAGGGATAGGGAGAGGATATAGACTAGAGAGAGATAATGATTTGGATTTGAAATTTAATAATTTGGGATAATTGTATTATATTATAATTAAAAATATTTAA